GATTCGCGCCGAATGATTATCACACCGTGATAACACCGGCTCGTTATCTTCTTGTCGACGTACCCGAGAGAGAGAGCGGCATGTGATATATACGAGGCGCGCTTTTTCTTCGGTCGGATGAGCGCTTTCCCAGACACCCGCTTTCGACAGGTCCGCAGTGACAACTGCCCGCAGGCCGGCCGGTCCCCACGCTTTTATGGGGACAACCGAGCGCGCAACCGACAGCGATCGCGCCGATCGGGGCCTCCGAGCAAGGGTTAATCGTTAGGAGAACTCGTGTCGCGTTCGACGTGTTACCTCGATCGCCGCGCGGTGGGTACAGCGGGTGTAGCGAATCGCTGCGGTCCGAGAGGTGTTGCGAGGCGATACCGTACGCGTGTGGGTGCGTCGCCGGTCGGCCCTACTATCTTCGATCAAGCCGAGCCGGGCTGAGCCCGAGTTAAAGAGTCAAGTCAAGCCGAGCCGAGCCGAGCCGAGCCGAGCCGAGTCACGCCAGGTCGAATCAAATCAAACCGAGCCGAGCCGAGCCGAGCCAAGCCAAGCCAAGCCAAGCCAAGCCAAGCCAAGCCAAACCGAACCGAGTCGAGAATTATTAGGCTGGAGTCAAAGACTGTCGACGAGGCGTCACCCCGCGTCGTCAATAGGCTCCGTAGGAACAACGGATGTGGAGACATTCGGACGGTCGTTAACGAGAAAGAGAGCGATTAGAGAGCGACTACAGAGAAACTCCAATGTTTTCGACAGATTTATCGATAGTTTCCCTTCCGCAGAGAGCCGCAGAGCGGGAGAAAGCTACTCGCGCGGGAATAATAGTAATGCGATGAGCGTGCAATCAGGAAACTGCATCGAGAACATGTCGAGAACATCTTGTATCAAACGTATATTTCGCGCCGCTATGTCAGCACCCTCTCCGTCTTCCTCCCTTCGCTCTTATTTCGGAACGCTACGCAACGAGAAATATCTTGGCCGCGCACGCATCTAAATTTCGCCAATGGCGCAAGTCACACACCTGCAGTTTTGTAAAATTTATACAGCGCTAGGAGATTAAATTCATGTAGCAATAACACACGTTGAATCTGCCCGACAGAAGACACTTTACAAACTTGTAGTAGAGAATATTTATATACAGTCGAATCACCTTATTCTGGGTGCGTCGGGGATCAAACAAGCGAGAAATTAAAAATATCGTTCTGATATGCGCATAGTGACTTTTCTGTTTCCTATCGTCTCGCGACGGCAAGGAGGACGAGTCCTTTTCCAATGTCGAAAAGGATGAGTCCCATTGTGAAAGTCGGAAAAAAAACGCTTGAACTTGGACTTGCTCGATATTTCCTTCAGAATTCCAAAGTCGCGTGACATAAGCATGCGACACAGGATACGTGACGGAGTTTCGAAGAATGGAAAAAACGGCGGCGACAAATGTCGGTAACGACGCATCAATGGTTCGAGTGTTGTGAATGGAGATGAACAGGACGCCGCCCGATGCGATGATCTTAATCGAATTGATCGATTCACGGCGCGTCGAAATGACGTAGGCGTTAAATGAGCTCACCGCGTCTACGATGCAAATCCGTTTCGCGACGTTGATCGCATACCTAAGATTTGCGGTTATGCCGAATACATAAAAATCGCGTATTGTTTATTTGCCTTTTTGCGACGATGCGTCGTGACGAGTCCGTTGAGTAATACCCCATAGAAAGCTTCTTGCGAGTCAATCTCGCGCTTCAATGTCTTCGTTACTTCTTTTCTTCTTTTTTTTTTTCCATGTTAGCTTCATTCGATTTCGAAAATACTGGTGTTAGGTGCGAAAGGAGACTGTGTACCTACAGGGAGAAGTGTAGATGTGTGCGCGTACGTGGGACCTCAAGGTGAGAAAAGAAATATGACGAAGAGTAGCTGAGGCAACGGCATCGTTCTTGCGTCTTTGAAAGCGAGAGAGGAGACGGCGCTTTCGCAGATTCCACGTGAGATACCTGCCACAGCATTCTTCGTCTCCTGCGAGAGCGGAGGCATTAAGCCGGATGCACATTCGTCGTGGACGATGCTCGTTCGCGGGATTCGTTTTCCAAGAAAAATATCTTCCGCCTTAAAACGAATTTTACGGCAGATTTCGTTGACGGTCGCAAAGGTCCATGCTCAATCTGACAGCCCTTCTTCCCCCTCCTTCTCCCGTTTTATAGATGGTCCTCACCTTTCCATTCGTCGCGCCCTCGAATTATTATTCTCGTCTCGACTAATTGGATATATGTCGTGCGTTAAATCTACTTTGAAGAAAAGATCACTCGGGAGAGTTCTACGAATGTGCCCGTCGGTGCGCCTGGACGGAGAAAGGAAAAAGAGAGGAAAAAAAAATAAGGTATATCTTCGCGCCCGCCACCCCTGCGACGTGGCGCGGCGCCGCTTTTATCACCGATGCGCATCTGATGACGAGACCGAGATGTTAGCACTCCCACGCCGTTAGACCTCGTCCATTTATCCCACCCGACGTACAAAACTCCACCCTCTCCGCCTTCATTCGGCATATCTCCGATCGCGAAATAAAAGGGGGGAAAAAAAGGAAGGGAAGGAAGGAAGGAAGAAAGGAGGAGGAAAGAAGAAAATAAGAAGGCACGACGTGGATCGGGGAGGCGCGACTCCCAATTTCGCCGGCGATTTAAGTCGTCATTGTACGGAGCTCCGTACCGGCGGAAATAAGAAGAAATCGCAGGATCGTCTCGCAGGATCATCAGTCTCTATTGTAGGATTTTACGATGGAATTCTGACGGTGCATCTTGCGTTTTCACACGACGATAACACAGGTACGGCGTGGCGTGGCGTGGCGTGGTCATGGCGTGGCGTGGCACGGCGCGGCGCTCCGCGGCTTCGTGCGTGAAGAAGGGCACAGAGCGTGGAGCGAAACGAGCGTGCGGACCGCGAGGAACGCCAGGCGGAAAGGAGAGAAAGATGAAGAAAGGAAGAAAGGAGGAGAGAGGCTTATAGGATCGGCTTGAAAGGATGGTGGGCCTGATCCGCGTCGACTATTCATAATCGAGAATGACAAATCTAATAGATTCTCGACGATGCGATCAGCCACGAGTCGCGAG